GTCATGTCCACTGTCAGGTTAACTTCTTGTAAGGTTTCTTGGCTTTGTTCTTGCACACCTCTGTCACTGCATTTCTTCAAAATTATCAGTGATGATTTTGAAACATAAATCATCCCTGCTTAAAACCAACTGCATGATGTCGCCAAGATGGTGGAATAGGAAGTACCAACCCTCACCTTCTCATAAAGAAATACAGATAGCTGTCCACAGACCATAAGCCCTCATCTAGTGTGGACCCAGGCATCAGTGTTTTCAGTTAATTCTGATGCCAGTCAGGCTGAGTGTGGTCTTTCCTGCTCTGGATAAAGTGTGAGCAGCTGGCTGTGACGCCTTCTCCTGCTGCACTCTCCTCCTCTTCCTCCCCCCTTGTCTTCTTGGCCTCCTTCAGAGTGCTGGGACTTGGTTTTATTCATTGCATCTCCAGCTGCAGAACAGTGCCTCGTACATAGTACGTGTTCAGCAGGTATTCATTGAATTGATGAATATTTGTAATAGACTCTGTTTGACTGCATGCTTTGCCCATTTAAGAGGGCTCAGTTGGGTCTCTACAGAATTTTGTTTTTGTCACTTGACATGGCACTATTAATACTTCTCATTTTTTCTGGAGTCCTATTTCTGCTTTGATTTTGTGTGATCTTTCTTTCCCATATTGTTACGTTGTTTTCTCTGGGTAACAAAGACAGGTTCCTAACAGCGTTGACAGTTAAGAGAGTTCATTCCTTCTGTTAGTAGACAAACCACTCATAGAGTGTTTGGTAAATAATCTTTGGATCATATGCCCATCGTGTGTTGTTTATTCTTGCTGGGTACACATGGGCTGCTCCTTAGGTTACAACCATAGTAGGATAGATGAGGAGGATCCGGTTTTAAAGGGAAAGGTAGGCATCAGGGGAGGTGTATGTTTCTGAGGTCAAAGTTTGAAGCCTGGTGGAGAGTTGACATTTTATTGCATCATTATCTGTGTAAGTCCAAGATAACATTGCCTGCAGCCTGTAAGGTTTTTATAGGAGAGTCCAGAATAATAGGTATTTTAGGTTTTGAGGCCATAAGGTCTCTGTCACGCTTCCTCTACACTAGAAGTTCTCAACCTTCCTAATGCTATGGCCCTTTAGTACAGTTCCTGTGGGTCGTGACAGGTCGCGAGAACTGCTGTTCTACGCTGATGTTTTAGTGCATAATTGGTCTTACACAGTATGTGAACAGACAAGTCATGGCCATGTTCCATCAAACTATAGACACTGAGATTTGAATTTTTTATAAAATTCTATAAAATACTATTCTTTTGATTACTATTTAAAAATATAGTCATAAGCTGCATAGCAGTGTTTTGGTCAATGACAAGATCACATGTATAATAGCAGTCCCATAGATACACAGATACTTACCATTGTGTTACAGTTGCCTGCAGTGCTAGACACAGGTGGGTAGCCTTGGAGCAGGAGGCCGAGTGTGTAGCAGGCCGGACCGTCTGGGTTGGGTCCCTGCACTCTGATTTTTGTACATTGGTGACATTTCCTGATGATGCATTTCTCAGAATGGATCCCCATTGTTAAATGAGAAGTGACTGTTTAAAAGCTGTTCATAGCTTGTGGGCCGTACAACACAGGCAGAAAACAGGATGTGTTCCCTGGGCCAGTCATGGGTCCCAGTCCCCAGCTTAACAGTAATGCTGTCTGTCCATCTATGAAGTTTTGACTTGAGAAGTCTGTTTCTTGACCAACAGTTCTTTTTTTTTTTTTTTTTTT